TTTTCAGTCTTAACATTGCTGTTAAACTGCTCATCCGTGTAATACTTGCAGTTATTTTCAGAGTTCTTTTTTAAGAAAAAAGTTTTTTTCAGGGTCAAAATCTTCGTCCGGTTCATGATAATGTTGTTCAGTGTCTCCAATTGTGTTCAGTTGCAGCTCCAGTCCCTCAAAAACTATTAACTTCTGTAACAAATCACTTGCCTCATTCCGTACATGGGTCATTAATAATGGACTGTGGAAAAGTATCTCATGTGAAATACTGTACAACTAACATCTTCTTCAAATGCCTTCAGAAGTCAGCACATGTACTTTGTGTTTACATTAGATACCTTGTTAAAGCTGAATTCATTGCTATTTTCCGTGGTTGCTCTCTCTGATGTGAGCTAAAGGTAGGTGGAGTGAGGCACAGGTTTCCTCCTCCCTGCACCCATTCACCAGCACAGTGTTTGTGTTGGATCTGTTAACAATATTATGTAACAGTTCCCACACTGAGGTAAAGACACCACTTTCTGTTTTGAATAGATGTTGAGTTAAAGGACTTGCCTTACCTGGGAGCTTTTACAATTTCTGGGTTCCAGTGTTGTATTGTGTTAACCATCTTATATAATCTGTGTTAATTTGATATAGACTCCCCATCTTCTGTTGGAAGATAACATCTTGTGTCTTGCCTGGATACTTTCACACACACACCTGCACTGTGTGATGTTTTGTCTGTGTGAATACAGGGGCTCTCTGTCTGGTCACAGCGGCACGGTTCCGGGTTCAGCTGAAATCTTCTCAGGCACAATAAAGTTGTCCCCGCTAACTGGCGATCTGGCGACGCTGAACAACAAGAGACCTGTTCTCCTGCTGTCAGCACTAGATGGTGATTTAAATTGTTCGGGCCTGATGGTGTATGTGACCATTGTGCTTTAGCCAAAATCGTGAGAGTCCTGCCTTTTCATCAGTTTATTTGCACTGAATAGTTGATGAAATGTTACATCTCCTACACTCCCAGCTTTAAAGGCTTCACATAAAGAGAAACATTTCCCAGCACTGTCACAAACAAGTACAACATTACTCAGTAGGAATGTGAGGTTCTACTCAATACAACACATAGACTATCCAACTTTAGAATAAATGATTTATTTACCTATTTGCTTGAGTGTATATGCAGGTGTAAATGTACGTGCAGGACCACATCCGTCCTTATAAGTCACATTCCATCATTCATTCATAAATAACACACAGAGGTGATTTGGTTTCTCTTAGTGCAACATGTTGTGTCAGGCACATATTTTTGTGTGTGCATGTACTGTAACATAGTTCTTCTCCACTTTACTGTGCCAGGTATAACCCTTCGGATCTGGAATGTAGACTGAAATTAAAGCTGGAGAAGAAGTGAGAAAGAAACCAAGTAGGAGAAAACGTGAAAAAAAGACAGACAATGACATTCTTTATTAAACAAAGCAAATTTTAGTATCTTCTGTAGATGATTTGCATGTCTTGCCTGTAGTGTGTGTGTGTGTGTGTGTGTGTGTGTGTGTGTCCTCTCATGGCTGAGAATGGCTTATTAAATGAGTTGTGAACAACAAATAGTTGAAAACACCTGCAAAGAGTTTGGTTCACATTTCTTCCTATCATCCTGAAAAAGTAAAACAGTTATGCATACAGTATACACTCACTGGCCACTTTATTAGGTACACTTGAATTGAATGGCATACAATTGTACGCCATTCAATTCAACACTTCTGCTTTAACATGAGTTTATGAAGCTCAGAATGTTTCTGTTTTTGGTAAAGTTGTCATAAATGTATAAATTGAATATATATATATATATATATATATTCAATTTATACATTTATGACAACTTCACCAAAAACTGTACCTAATAAAGTGGCCAGCGAGTGTATACAGTATGTACATAGAATTTAGTTTTGACCTAATCGTTTATTTTTACAGTTCAATTAGTTTATTTTTTGATTGATAAATTGCCAGAAATATCATCAGGAGGAGGTCACATGTGCCAGTTAATAAATCAGCAGCACTGAATATTTATTCCCTTTCATTTCCCTGATCTTATTCTCTACATTTCCCAGAATGCCTTTTGGCAACCACCAGGAATAAACTTGCTGCAAACAGGCGTGGTTGTGCTTGTCTGAGTTGAGAGTATTAGGCATAGTGATGACATACTGAACAATAGTATCAGTCAACAAAATAGGATTCCTCACTCAACATGCAGTGTTCTGTCTGTTGCACTGCATTCTGGTCTGCTTACAGGCTTTATGCTTTACGCACGCGCACACACACACACACACACACTTTAGGTCTGTCAGTCAGTAACTAAGCTCCACCCAGAGGAACAGACTTTGATCAGTGTCTACACACACACACACACACACAAATATATAGCAACATATTCACAGTCATGAACCATCCAATAAACAAGCAAACCCCAGAGTGAAGTCACACATGAAGGCATAAGCATATTGAGCCTGCAACAAATTCAACATGGACTCACTGCAGTCATGCACACAGGTAAACAAGTGAAGAGCTCTGCAGACAGGCATAACATAAGCGCACCAATAGATGTAGTGCATTAAAGATAATGATGCATAATAAATGCCGGATAACAAGACTCCTCTCATAGATAATAAATGAGTTCTATTAAATCAAGCCAAGTTTTGTGTGATTATTTGTTTCAAGGGCCAACTAGTGTCTGAAACATTTAAAGGTTTTTTTTATTAGAAAAACATTCCTTATAAAAGATCTATAATGAACAGATACAATAACATTTTGAACATGATAAAATATCTGTGGCAATATATAAAAAGCCAGAAAAAATTCTGTCACAGAAGAAGAAAGGCAGGTATTACAAATCATTTGTTAGTAGACGTGATTCATTCACAAGTGCACAGAGAGAAAACTCAAGGATATTTTGCTATCAAAGGGGTTTTCAGATCTGACTGTGTGCTCCCACAGAACAGACAGGTGCATGTATAGTTTGCTAACTCACTGATCAAGTACTTGACCTTCAGATTTAATGACAGAAACACCACTTTTATGCTTTTTTATCCCAGTAATGTGATGTGACATACTGTAATATCCTCATGGGGAAGATTAGTGGAAGATGAAACTGCTTTTAACGAGCGTTCTAGGGCTGGCGGGTATTATGATGTGTCCATCACTGCCTGAAATGCTAGACCTACATTATTCTTAATGGCATTCAGTTGTAAAATGACATGATATTGTCAACAAGAAAGCTGTTTTTCAAAGGTTGCAGGTACTATAAAAATATAGAGATCTGTGCATGGCTCATCACGGCAGTAAATATTTCTTACAGTAATTGCCACTATCTTTGATGAAATCTATTGCTTCGTCCATGTCTAGAAGAACAGACGCAAATATTTTTGGACTTTCTCAACAGTAAAGTTAGTTTTCTTTTGGTTGTCTTTCAAAGCCTTTAACTTCATAAAAATCATTGCTCCAGTTTCTTTGTTGCTTATTTGGAAACAGAACTTTCTGTTTTCCTCTTATTCAAGAACAGTGTTCTTGTTTTTGAGTCAGCAGCAGTAGTACAGTAGCAGCTCGTCAGCAGCAGAACTGGTCAAACAATCCACGAGTGCCATCTGGGCATCAGTCCATTGAGCTTACTGGCTGGCTTCACATCAGTGTTTGTCTCACTTTCTGTGGCTGTCTCCTCAGTCAGACTAATCATCATCATCTGAGCTAAGGTGCTACTCCTCTGACGTGCTGGGGTCTTTGGTGCTAGTTTCTGAGTGTATATCATCTGAACTACCAGTCTCTATGGATATTCCTGTTAGGTAGAGGTAGACAGCACTTGATGAAAGCAGGGGACAGAGAGCAGAGACTAGGAGAGGTAAGAACAACAAACACACAGGGATATGCATTCATGCATAACATAGTCATTCATTATTTATCTACATTGTCACACACAGTGGGGGAAGGACAATGACAAGCAGACATCAGAGACAGCAGCAGGGACAAAGGGTTAGAATCACACAGGGTTAAGTCCCAAGTTGTGAGCAAAGGGTGGATCAAAATCTCTGTTAACTCATCTGCATCTGATTGGGATAAATATATTTCCTTCCTTTGCCAAGTGTTTCGGTGACAGCTTCAGTCTGAAATGTAAATAAATCTGATCGACCAGCAAAGTCATCAACTTATGTTTAAGAGGCTTGACTTTTAAGGTCTGGTGCTTATATTTCCGAAACACATTTTTGTAGTAACCAGTTATGCGGTGCCTATTACAGAGAAATCTGAAAACCCAAGAGAGATAAAAAGTCCCATGTGCCCAGAAAAAGACAAAACAGATCATTATGCAAAGCAGATAACAGGCCATGAGAGATGGTAGAAATTTGCCACTTTGTCAATAAAGCTGAATAGATCCATCCATCCACTATCTATGCCACTTATTTTTAAATAGGGTCATGGGGAGGCTGGAGCCAATCCCAGCTGACATTGGGCGAGAGGTGGGGTACATCCTGGACAGGTCACCAGTCTATCACAAGGCTGACGTGTAGCCAAACAACCACGCACACTCACTCGTACGGGCAATTTAGAGTCGCCAGTCAACCTAAGCTGCATGTCTTTGGACTGTGGGAGGAAACCGGAGTGCCTGGAGAGAACCCACGCAAGCACTGGGAGAACGTGCAAACTCTGCACAGAAAGGCCCTGGGTTGGCCCAGGATCAAACCCAGAAGTGACAGCACTGACCACTGCACCACTGTGCCGCCCAGCCTAACATATATTGCATTTAATCAAGTGCTGCTTTTTTTTTTTTTTACAAAATTATTAAGTGTCTGTTTCCAACTCCTCTAAGTGCTCACCATCAGGTTTTGATATTATTTCTGCAGGAGTCACAAAATCAGTCTTATAAGACTCATAAGAATTTCAGAAAAATACAGTGATAAAACTTCAGTAGTGACACAAAGCTCAAATGTACAATATTGTACCATCCAGCTGTGAATTCACAGTAGAGTGGATCAGACAGCTGGTACATACAACTGAAATGAAATGAGAGTTGATATACGCTCTCTGGGAGGTTTCATAACGCTTCCCATCATCCGATAATTAAAACCAAATTCCCGTACTAGCTACGAAACTGCTCATTCACCGTTTCTATTGTTTGTTGAAACAATATATCAAACATGTGGCTTTGGTTGCGTTGGTGTGTTGAAGGGTGAAATGTATTAGTAGGAACAGGAATACGCCATTGTCCTACATCTACATCATCAAAACATTTATTCTAAACAGGAAGTGTGTTTGAAAGCCAATGTTCAGTAGCTTAACAGGAAAAGATGATCTGATTAAACAGTTGTTCCTCTCCAGAAAGAAAGGCACACAGGCTACACAGCAGGCTGGCTAATGCTCTGTACAGTATCTACAGTTTTCTACACAAAAGCACATTCTTGATTCATTTCTGGTTAATGCGAGCTGCCCATCAACTGGTCCAGGTTTTGGATCCAAAAACTGTGGTAGGTGAGAAAAAGGAAACATCCCATCGGTATGGCAAAGAGCCCCAGGCCCCACCAAGGTGCGGCGCATCTACGGAGTCAGATGGAGACCAAAAGAGAGAA